AAACTGAAACTTTTGCTTCTTCCTTATATACCTCTCTAGTGCTGGAATTAAAGGCATGAGGTCTGTTTCTCTTTTAGACTGATTCACTCTCATGTAACCCTGGATGGCCTTAAACTCACAGAGATCCATCTGCCTCTGACACCTGAGTCCTTTGATTAAAAATGTGTGCCACCTCCCCCATGTGGGTGTCAGTTAGGAGGCCTGGACAGTCTATGGGGCCTCCGGTAGTGGAACAGTATTTATCACTAGTGTAGGAATGGACTTTGGGAGCCCATTCCACACAGAGGGATACTCTCTCTGCCTAGACACATGGGAGAGGACCTAGGGCCTGCTCCAAATAATATGACAGACTTTAAAGATCCCCCATGGAAGGCCTCATCCTTTCTGGAGAGCAGAAAGGAAAAAGGAAATGGGATGGGGGCTCCATGGGGGGTGCAAAGGGGGATGGGAGGGAGAGGGAACTGGGATTGACAAGTAAAAAAAGACTGTTTCTAATTTAATTTTAAAAAGAGAGAGAAAAGAAGTGTGTGCCACCATTACCCAGCATCTATGGCTAACTAATGTGGTTAGCTTTGCATTCTGATTCCCCAGGCAAGTGTTATTAAATAATAAACAATATATCACTACAATGAGGGCCCCTCACTCTATCTCCATCCTGGGCATTCCAGTGCTTGGGAGAAATGACACCATCATGTATTAATTTTTCTCTCATTTGTCCCCAAGTGCTTTCTTTCCTGACATCTTTTTTATTTTTTATTTTTGAAATTTTCTTGAGTGAGATATATATCTGAAGGAAAGATTCATGTTAAACTTTCCCTGTCTTTTACATGAAGAATGCAATCCATAACTTGGTGATGTTTCCTAATTCAAAACTTCCCAGTGGTGTCATCTCTAGAATACAAAGTCAAGTTCATGTGCTCTTCAAGCATTCTGAGCTCCCTCCATCCCTCCCTCCATCCCTCCCTCCCTCCCTCCCTCTCTCCATCCCTCCTTTTATGGTCTTTCTGCTTTTGTAAGTTAACACCTGTTCCCAAAAAGCCACATACGGAATACCCCATACTGTTCTGATATTTTTGAGGACTCAGTTCCTTCAATATTTACCATGTCATTTCAATCTAAGCAGGGAGTGAGAAGATTGTACGAGCCAGAAAGAGGGCAGGGCAGCTGCTGTAACAGAGAGGAGGGAGTGGACCTGGTGGAGTAGGAAACGAGTAGACCAAGTATGATCAAGAAATGTTGTTTTATCTCTGAGTTAATAAAAACATTGTAAAACAGATGTTCCATCAATCTTTGTCTTTTCATTTTTTTCTTTGATTGAAAATAGATTCTCTTCTGATAAAATATATCCTGATTATAGTTTTCCCTTCTTTCTCTCCTCCCAGTTCTTCCCTTCCCTCCCTTCTGTATCTACTTTCTTTCTGTCGTTAGAAAAGAACAGGCCTCTCAGAAATAACAACCAAACATGACAGCATAAACTTTAATAAGATCAAGCAAAAGCCATCATACTAAAGTTGCACAAGGCAACTCAGCAAGAGGAAAAGAGTCCCAAGAGTAGGCACAAGAATCAGAGACCCACTCTTTCTCACATTCAGGAGTTCCATAAAAATACTAAGCTAAAAGCTATAATATATACAAAGAGAACCTGGTGTAGTGCCATGTAGACACTGTCCTTGCTTCTCCAGTTTCTGAGTTCATAAGAGATTTCCTTAGTGATCCAAAGGGCCATATTCTCCCGTTGTCCTCCATCCCCTCTGGCTCTTACAATCTTTCTGCCTCCTCTTTCTTTGGGTTCCCTACGTTCTGAGGGAAGGAATTTAGTCAGGAACTCCCATTTTGACTTTCTTTTATATATTTAGTTATTCAGATTGCATTCCTTTCTCAAACACAATCACTTTCTTTAATATATTTTGTATTTCAGAAGCATACTTATTAATCAATAAACATGATGACTCTGAAGTATTTTTCTTTTGGGATCAGTGACTTATATAATGAAAACGAGTATTTCTTCTCTTAACTTCAAATTGTATAATGGCATAAACACTTTCATGTAAACACACCTGCCTTTCCTATTACTCATTTTTCATTTGAACTTTGCTCTTTGATGCAGATGAGAAGCACATGAAGCATTCAAGCTGTTTATGACTTAATAAATTTATACTTCAATTCAATAGACCCTGAAATACTTATACTTAAGTTGCTTGTTACAACAATGTTAAAAGCAAATACTTCTTAAAGTCTACTCAGCTATATATTATGTCTTATGTTTGTGATTTAAGGTACTACTGCAGTCATTGAATGTATTTTTAAGTGGGCTTGAAATATATTTTCATTTAAATTGTCCCCATTATGAACAATAAGTACTATAAAAATTATAGATGCGAATATTTTATACATGTTCTGATCTTATGAATAAAATAAACATAACTTGACCAGGGTTAGCCTAAAACCATTTACCTCACAGGAAGAACAGAAGTCATATAGTAGATGATTTCCTGATATGTAAATGGATGACAAAGGAATGGAGGTAAGGGATGTTAAGTCTTCAGTGGTGAAGAAAGATAACTATGCAGGGGTGTAGAGAATGATCAGATTAGCACAGAGGAGCAACTACAGTTCTTGTTCAGTTGAGACATGACCAGAGTTGTTGAAGAGTGAGTGAGGGCTGATCACTTTACCCTGGCATCCAAAAAATGCCACACACTAGGTGAGGTTCAGACAGATGGTTTTTGGATCATTGTAACTACTAACAGTGCCCACTTGGCTAGACATTTCATAGATCTTCCATCACTCAAATCTCAAGAACAATGTAGGTTCAGAATGAATATACTTATTTTTCAAATGGAGAAACTGAGACTAAGGTTGGGAGAGATTGACTTTGAATCTGAGTCAGCATGACTCAAAGCTTGTCTGGGAACCATAACATCATCTAATGAATGAGATTTGGCAAATAGATATTTAAGGAAGTACTTGTCAATAACCTCCTTTGCTTATTCAACCAAACTAAAGCCACACTGTCTCCTTAAGGGAACCAAAAACAACAAGAAAAGAGCTTTCATTGTAGAATATAATTGTGTGAAAAGGAAATTGAAAGCCCATTATCTTGGCTCTGGTTTCCTTCAAATCTCCGCGAATGCCACTTGTTTCCCAAGGAAAACTTAAGTTTAAGCTGTTAGTGATTTGCTTTGAGAGTGAACAAAGGAACAGAAGGAAACATTTCCAAGAAAAACTGCTCCTTAAGGTTTTATGCCTTTATGGTTATAAGAATGGAGATTGAAAGAAAAATAATTCAGAAGTCACACTGCCTATTTCCAAAATGAGGATACAAAATCAGCCAGAGGTTTGGATCCTTCTTGTTTGTGTGTGTGTGTGTGTGTGTGTGTGTGTGTGTGTGTGTGTTGCCTTTATAAAAGTGTCTATTCAACCTATTCAAGTAAAAGGAAAGTGAGGTTTCATTTTTTTAGTACATCAGGGAGTTCCAATTACTCTCAAGTGGTGTCAGGGGTGTTTTGAAACATAAATAACTCAAAAGCATTTACAAGAAATATGGACATTAATGATGTTTTCAGTAGAGAGAAACTTAAAAAGACAGTCATAGTAAGTGGCAACATCTCTAAAGGTTTGGGGAAATTGATTTAACAACAACAACAGAGAGGGGGAGAGATAGAAGATAATAATAATAATAACAATAACAATAAAAAGAGGAGGGTGAGGAGAGTTGAGGAGAGGAGAGTTGAGGAGAGGAGAGTTGAGGAGAGGAGAGGAGAGGAGAGGAGAGGACAGGACAGGACAGGACAGGACAGGACAGGACAGGACAGGACAGGACAGGACAGGAGAGGAAAGGAGAAGGGAGGAGAGGAGAGGAGAGGAGAGGAGAGGAGAGGAGAGGAGAGGAGAGGAGAGGAGAGGAGAGGAGAGGAGAGGAGAGGAGAGGAGAGGAGAAGATGGAAGCAGGAGAATATTATTCATTGTCTTGGGATGTCTCTCTCTGAGTAAAATGTTATTTCCACTGCACATATGAATACTTTCACATAGCTCTCTTAATTGCTGCATTATAAAATTCGTATTCAAATTGAAAGTCGCTTTGTACGTTTGGATTTGCACCTTATGATTTTATAGTTTATTGCATATTTTATTTTGTCTCCTTTTCTTAATTTTCCCTTAATTATATTTTTATGGTTATATTGTATGTGTGTGTGTGTGTGTGTGTGTGTGTGTGTGTGTCCAACATACCAAGGTGAAAGTAGGAGGAAAATACCACTCACAAAATGAGAGACAATTGCTTCTCCCCTCCTGTCATATAGGTTTCAGGGATCTACCAAAGTTGTCAATTGACAACAGGTGATCTTACCCACTGCTTATGTCACCAGTTCCTCCTTAATCGTTTCTGAGAAATCTTCTTTACATTAATGAAACATTTGAACCTCATAAAAACCAACAGTGTAAGAACAAATTATCATCCACACTAAATTGTGCATTCATATATCATGAGTAATTAAAATCAAAGGCCAGAATGCTGCTTTCCAAAAGCTCAGAGTAATTCAACTCCAGAGAAGAAATGAGTTTTCCTTTATTTTAATAACTTACAAAAGAATAAATTCCTAGGAAAGAACTCATGTTAAAGTAGTTGGTAGGAAGCATGTAACAACTAATGAAAAAAAAAGAGAGAGCATGAGTTTGAAAGTGATTGAGGAGTTACATATGGAAGGGTTTAGAGTGCAGAAAGGGAAGAGAAGATGATGTAATATTGATTGAAAAATAACTGGAAAAAATTAAAATTCCACAAAAAGCAGTTATCAAATTCATGGGCGAGACTATGGCTGAATTAATGAGACTTTTTTATTCTTTCACAGAGAAGAATGATAAAACACTAAGGATTGAAGTATGACTAAGGACAGAGCCTAGTGGATGAATATTTGCATCTACAAAGCCCTGGCTTCATTCTCTAGCACCAAGAAAAGGAAAGAAACAACAACAAAAAACCCAGACAAACAGAAAAAAAATACACAATCAATGGTTTTACTTCAAATAGTTAAAAAGGAGAGCACAGTAGAGATTTGCCATGTTTTATTACAAATTTAGCATTTCCTTTTCAATGATGAGATGATTCTGAGAAACCAACACTGCACAACTTAGAGAATGCAGAGATATTTGTTTCTTTAAGTAACCATTAACACACTGCTGGATGAAAAACGTTTCATATCTCATGGGGTGTTTTGAATGAAGACAACTGACATCTGCTTTATTATTGTCTTCTTGAAGTAAACTGGTCTGATCTATATACAGAAGCATGCTAAATGCAGGTTTTAAATTAGAAGCTTCCACAGACATTCCTCTTCCATTATTCCCCACTCACATTCATTCCAAGTGCAGTTAGTATTTATTTTGTACTTTTACAGAAATGCTCTCTACATTGACTTTAGAAAGTAAATCATATTAGTAGGCCAAGAGGAGTTCAGCTTTGGCAGTATCAAAATGAAAACATACATATGGTAGCAGATTCCTAGGTACTGTTAGTTTAAAAGAAAAATTGCTGTAAAATAAGTGCCTATTCTTTACTGCACGTGGTACACAGCACATTGCACTTGGTTTCAGAGTTCAGTCATGGAGGCTTCCAGGAGAGTCACAACTGCTGTGGAACTGTGGAGGATGAGACAGAAGAGCCTGCTGGAGGCGGGGCCTGGGAGTACCACTGGGTATTCAGGGCGGGGCTTGGGAGTACCACTGGGTATTCAGAAGGATGTCCAGTCCAATTATTCCCAAGAAGTCCTCTTGCTGCAGACGGGTAACTAATGGCCCCACTTCTCTTCTCTTTCACTTGTACTTTCTTCTTCTTCAGGGAATGCTGATCCATTCTGGCCTTTCAGATGCTTAACCCCTGAAATTATAGAAATTGCGCAAAATTCAAGTGAATTTTATTTCTGGTAGATCCACTGCTGAAAGAGTTAATAAAAACATGGGATGGAAAAGTTTAATTGTGTGTGTGTGTGTGTGTGTGTGTGTGTGTGTGTGCGTGTGTTTTCTCCAAGAATCTCAGCCATGTATGCTATATAAACCTTTTAATTCACTGAGCAGTAAAAACACACCCAGAAAATTTTCCATTAGAGACAGGGTATCTTTTATAATCACATCTTCTCTGTTAAGGATTACATCACAGTCTATTAAACCCCTGTTAACTAAAGATCTGCTCAGAGGCCCTTATTATAATTCTGATGTATCATTTAGTGAAAATATTGCTTTTGGCATCACCGAACACAATTACAAAGAAGGCCTTTCAAAGTCCTAATACCAAAAGGGATGTGTGCCATTTCTGTAATGTATAAACAAAAAAGTAACAGTCACAATATTGTTAGCCATATGTTTGGATCCATAACGTACCCACTGGATTATGAATTATTTTATTCAAAATTCTTCAGTAAGTATGCCTACAGAGTAGAAGAACCTATAGGCTTACCTTTGCCTAAAGATGCTGCTTAGATGGCCTGGCCTGACCTTCGATGGTGGGCTACCTTTCCACAAGGTTTTATTTTCACCTTTCATAGTAATTTCTGCTCTAAGTTTCCTCCAACCACCTCAGACACATTTAATTCTAAGCTTTTATCCTTCTGTTGTAAACATCAAAGGTCTTTCTCCTCCTCACATATCTAACCATCTTCTGCTCACCCTTCAGGTATCAGCTTGTCTCTCCTGAAGGAGAGCACAACCCCCACGTAGAGTTAGAAAGTTGCTTCCCTTATCCACCTGGTGCGTTTGATCCCTTCTTGTGTCGGTTACCTTATAGAACTTTGTTTATGTAATGTCACTTTGGAATCACAGGAAAGATATCTACCCAACAGTAAATGTTCACTAGCAAAATTAGTCTAACTGATGGACTGAATTAATGAGGAAACAGTTTAGTATGTGTCCTGCCAATTTCACAATAATTTATCTTTAGATTTCTTTTGCTATTCCAAATCTGAAATACATTATTAGAAGATTACCGCTACCTCCACATTTAACTTGCACACTTATCTTCAAATCCCCTAAACTATGATCTGTTAAGGCAACATGCCTGATGATATCTTCACATGTGATAACTGGTGTGCATTTTTATATTTTGGACATCTGTTTTATGAGATTATTCTAAGAATCATGAAAGATGTTCAAGTTATAACTGAAAAATAAAAGCGAGGCCCGGCTCGTATTTTCAGTAAAACCAAGACTCAAGAGGTATGTGAGTTTGTATGCACTGCTACCACCAGGCTCAGGATACAAATTGGCAATGATGTTTGTACTTGATGCATTATCTTGCAACAATATTTGAGCAGGTGTAATATTTAAATGTTTTAATATGCATATACAGATCACTCACAATTTCTGTTGCCACAGACTATAGAGAGAAAATTATTATTAGCAATTGGAAATTACTTTATATTACAATAAGCTACAATGAAAAGTCATCTAAATGCTGAGCAGAAAGGAAGGGAGCTCATTGAATCCAAGTAGACACTCTACTCGTGTTTTGCATGCATGGCTCAGAAAGCGTCAGAAATCCACGATGTAAATACCTGGTATGGGTGTTGAGATTCTGAGAATACGAATGATTCTCTCTCAGCTTTAAGAGTGGTAAGGTGCTAAGGGGAGTTCTAGCATATCCTAGTGTATGTGCTGGTGTATAAGACACAGGGTTCCACTGTCAAGGTATCTCAACTGAATTTCAACTTTAACTTTCAACATGCCAGTCCACACTCTCTAGCCATTCTCTCAGACATATCATAGGTTTATAGCACCAATCCCACGCTGGTGCAGAAGGCCCTTAGGGTACTATTGACAATGTTAGGTTTGAGAGGTTGACAGTCCCTCTCCAAGTTTGTACTGACTCTGGCACTCTTATTCAACAACAAGGTAATGAACTTGTGTTTGAGAATTTAAATGAGGAATGTTGATATTAATTTGGGTAAATGTAAGAAAAAAAGAAATAAAAATGCCAACATACTTAAACATTAGTCAATCATTCCCCACACTTGAAGACAGGCCTGTTTCTTATCCTGATTTGAATTGAATTTGTTTTTATGATAACAATCACCACAAATTTACATGAGACGCATTTTCTGAAATAAAATCACCCAGAAATGAAATCTTTTCAAGGGAAAAGCTTAGATGAGGCAGAGCTGGTGACAGGTTGCCATAGAGATGTCCTGTAGAACACAAATCACATAGTCTTTAGTTTCTAAAGCATGTTGTCTTAATGCCTTCTGTCAGTTGAAGAATCTATGGTTGATTAATTTCTGTCTTGAAACCCATCTGAACCACTCCTTTCCCTTTACCCATCAGCAATATTCATTTTACTATGGCCCAATTGATGTTAAAATTAAAGTATACAGTCTGCTGATATAGATTTTATAATGTCTTTCTACATAGCTTTCATTCATGTTTCATGTTTCAATTTTTAAGGTACTTATTCAATATTTGAGCATCCCCCCAGATAGAAGAGAATAAGCTATCCTGGAGACATTGGTGAAATTCTAAGACTCCATCCTGACAGACATAAGGAAAGCCTTTCCCCAATACATGGTCTATGATGGCTCACATTTCAGTCAGAATCCAGGACAAGTGTAGACTCAGTCATGACTGCACACAAACAGGAGACAAAGAAACCACAGAAACCACAATGGATATACTTTCTCCACAATAACATGAACACACAGAAAAAGAGTCATACAAAAGACTGGGCTATATAGTGTGCATTTGTAAAAATATAAAGAAATTGGAGTTGAAGGCAAAGTAGACTGAGTCAAAGAAGAAAAGAAAGACAGACAGAAAGAAAGACAGACGATGCCCAGAGCATAGCACTTTGTGACTTGTGTATGTGTATGTGTGGTGTGGTGTGGTGTGTGTGTGTGTGTGTGTGTGTGTGTGTGTGTGTGTGTGTGCGCGCGCGCGCGTGCTCTCTTAACTTTGTAAAGCAGGTGGTTTGGCAGGCAGAAACAGGAACTGCCACAATTTATCCTCAGCTTGGTCTACATAGTAAGTTCCAGACTACACAAACACACACATTATGAGGCCACTTTGGTGGTTGGTAAAGTGACCAGTTTCCACATAACACTATAGGATCTTCTCTTGCCAGCAGCAGAACATGTGACTTTATTGAGATGTTCCCAAGGACAGAGTCAGCAACAGTTTAGGAAAGAGACTTGGCCTCTTGCCTGGAGACTGTATGTATCAGAAGAACTATTCTATAAGGAACTGTACATGAAAGTAGAAAGTTTGGGATACAGAAATTTAAGAAAAGATGATAGATACTCTGACTTTCTAAAATAGTGGAGGAAAATTAAAACTGATATATATAGGTCTTATGAACAGAAATAGGGTCAATGGTTGACAGTAAGGTAAAGGGTGGATTCTGTCCAAAATAGAAAAAGACGCTCCCAAATCTCATTTGTTCAGCAAGAAACACATGCGATTTTTGCTTATTTGTTTGTTTTGTTTTTGAGCAAGGGTATCATATTATATGTAGTCCGTGCTGGTCTGGAACACACTATGTAGACCAAGTTTACTTTGAACTCATAGAATTATTCTACCTTGGCCTCCTGAAGAATGCTGGGATTGCAGACTTCAGCTACCATACCTGGCTTGAATGTATACTTTTAAAACAAATTCACAAATGCATTGGGTAAATGTACAATTAAATTTTCTTTTATTGGTACATGCACATTCTTTTTATCTTAGTAATAACTCTAAAGTCCTTAGGGAATCTATGGTGTATTTTGGAGCACCAATCACCTACTTAGAAATTTATATATATTTTTTGTTGTTGTTGTATTTGTGGCTTCTCAAGGAAAAAGCCCCACGATTTTCAACAGATCTTGGTCAGGTCTCTTATCTCCAAATAATTATAAATATGAATATTAACTAATCAAATCTGTGTGGTTTAAAGAGGAAAGTAAAATTTCCTGAGAAACTATTAAATAAACTGAGACACAAACTTTAGCCCTTTACTCCAGTTGGGAGCCCTTTGCCTGGGTAGAGTGTTATCCTCCACTATCAATGATCTTTTACAAAGTTAGAACCAGAAAGAAAATACAGTGACTCAAGATCATGGGGCTTTTTTCATCTTCAAACTAGATTTAACTGTAACCTATCCCATACTGTTGGTTTTAGTGTAATCAAAACGATGTTGAATTTAATCTAACTTGTAGACACTCTTTAAACATGACCAGGCTACAAATAGAGATCGTGTTATGAGAAAAGAGGAAGCTTTTTCTGCTGTATACAAAACTTTGAACAGGATGCTAGACATGAACAATGTGGTCATTTAATCTTCAGAGACAAAATCAAGCAGTTTTATTTAAATATAATAAACCCCATCTGGGAAAGAGACAAAACTAGAGATCAGATAGGATGTGGGATTAGGAGTGACGCTGTGCACATGATTTAATTTAGTGGAAAACTATTATAGATGAGTCGAACAAGCCATGCTGATGAGTATAACAGTGCTCCAACTTAAGGAATAGCAATTTAGACAGCCATTTATAGAGCAATAAGCTGGTTAATAACCAGCTTGGTGTCTAAGCAAATATTACTAGCAAAATATATTGAACAAGCCTTAGTTTTTCTGAAAGCCTTTTGTGTACAAAGGAATGACATCTGTGGTCTTAGCAAAACCACTTACTAATAGTTCAATGTATTTAAAATGTAGTGTTAGATAGAGTCTATTTAATCATTAATGTTAATACTCAGAATAGCCTCTCAGTAAAGTCCTGTTATTTCTTAAAATGGAAATGAGTTTTGCATTTCCTAAAATGCCATCATATATTCTGCATTTTGTTTAATACTTTACCATTCATTTTTAATAGAAATATATTAACACACTAAAGTCAGAGAGATCAAGTGATATAT